CGTTATGGGAGGGTACTACATGATTACTTTCTGGGCGAAAGACTGCAAAGGCATACAAATTGGATATTTTCCCGCCGCACACCTGACAATGTCACACGGGTTGAAAAACACTGGGCTAATGCACGTCAATTAGTGTCAGGCAGAACCGTTTTAGGTTACAATTGGTTCCTGCTAATAATCACCACTAGATGGCGGAGGACCACTAACAGGGAAACAACTTAATGCGGAATCTAAAGAGAGTTACAGTCTCTTTATATTAGGCGCATCAGATTGTAGGGTGCACTGTCATCTTTTTCAAAAATGGAATGCTTCTAGGTGCGCCTTATAGTGCGGAAAATACGGTACTTAAAATTAATACAGCCGGATAAGCTTTACATATGATGTATACAGTACTGGCTATGACTTAACAGTACACCGCACTGTACCAAAAACAGCACTGGATGACGGCATTGATTAATGTATAACGATTAACATGCACTGATATTTGACCAACCGTGCGAAGGTAAATGAAATTACATTTCCATATGTTACAGTGGGAGGCATTCAGAAAGAAGTTTGCCATAGAGGCTGTCAAGGGTGGGTGGGCAGAAAAATATCAGGTTGGCTTTTAGGAAGGTGTTGAGGTTCCCATGACAAAAGCAGCCAAAATAAATGTCTGCCAGCCTGCGGAATGAGGGATTTCACTGTCAATGCAGCAGTGGGGGAGAGAGAGATAGCTGTGTGTACTGATGTGGTGGTGAGGCGATTGGGAGGCGGGGCTTTGACTTTCGGCTATACACACAAACACTTAACTATATGTTGGTTCATGAGCACATGGGTGTGAGTATGTGCATAAACACACTGTTAATCACAACAGCAGCGTTTGGCTTGGACACTGGGGGCTCATGAAGGACTCAATGCAAGTTCCTTTGCTAATATAAAATCACAGTGTTGGTATTTGTCAAATTTACCAGGGAAAATATACATTTCCCCTCTCTGGCAGCCCATGGAGGTGGCTGGCTGGAGATGTGGAGGCCTTGAGTCCCGCTGGCATCAATTCAAGAAGTCTAGCAGGGCTGTTGCTCTCATGTAGAGTAGGTCCTGTTCATCTCAGAGGGGGAGTAAGATGTGGTTTTATTTACCTATGTCAAGGTCAAGGGGGACAAGCCAAAGACTATTCACTGTTTCAGGCCAAATAGACATCTCTGAGCAGCTCTGCTGCAAACTGTCAGCAACATCTTGATCGTTAAATGAGTCACTGAGCCGACATTTCTTCCGCAAAACAAGTTTCATGGTTTGTTCAGTCATTTTTTTTTCCAAGAAAGATTGTGACTGTCGAAAACTACAGTATACCGCTAGTTGTTGTGTGCAGAATTTTGTAGCATCCATGTGATTAAGAATGAAGAAGAGAAACATTAGGCGACACGAACAACTAAACAACAACAACTCTAGGACAGGTACAAAGCACACTCTCGTGTATGTACACTCCTTCCTACCAGGCTTTGTGACATTATTTTGCTGTGCTTACATCAGTGTGTGGGTGTGTGCCTGTAATTATGACTCGATATAAATACAGGTTCCACAATCAGAACCGGTTGTCATTGTATTGCCACAGGGCAAAGTTACAAATGAGGACACACACACACACACACACACACACACACACACACGCACACACACACACACACACACACACACACTCATTGTGATATTCAATCCAAATGCACATTTCCGAGCAACCATGACCTGCACATCTGTTTTCTCCCTCCCTGCCGGAACTCGCTAACCCATTCATTTATAGGTGCCACCTATGAAACACTCATTGCCAAGGAGTGACAATTTATTTCAAATTGCATGACCAATGACATCCTTTGGCACAACCCCAAGCTTCAAAACTAGCCTTTTCATATGTGAAGGTTGAAAGAAAGCACATGGCAACTTCTTGAGAGTTGGTGTATTGCTTGAAGAGGTGGTTTGAGGGGGGGCAGGGGGGCTTTGATTTGGGCAAACCGCCCAGATGGGCAAGGCAGGCGCCAGGTTACCAGACTACCAGACTGCCAGACTGCGAGGCCCGTTTCCGGTTTTATATTAGGGATTATTAATACGCAGATCAGACATTAAAACTCTTGGCAATGTGACACTGCTCGGCATCGCAAAAAAATAAAATAAATAATAATAATAATAATAATAATACAAATAATCACATCTGCATGTTTAACCCATTTGAAGCATTGCTTGTAATAAAGAGCTCCACACCCATGATTCCTAATTAAATGGAGCTCGCCTGATTCTAGATGTCCTTTAGAAATTAGAGAAAGTTGCCATTTTTTAACTATAGCAAAGTGGTACACGCTATGTGAGAGTATTGTGGCTTTTACTCCTTGCCACATCTTTTTTTTTTTTTTTTTAAGCTATTATCCCCTAGACTGCTGTTGCCTTCCACGGGCCTTTTAACAAAGTGCATATGTCTGTACTTTACAACAACTACCTCCAAACGTAATAGTTTAGGGAGTAAGAACCTCGTTTATGGCTATGGATCTGGCACGGTAATTATGGTGCCAGGATTCATTTGGCTGCGAGTGTTGTGAGAGCGACCGACAACTCTGTCAATGCGCAGCAATGACAGAGTTGTCGAAACTGTGTCGAAACTGTGTGTGTCAGGTTGCTGCATGTACTTAGGTGAGTTGTGATATGGCCATTAAGAGCTTCCTGCCTCTCTCGCCTCTGATAATGTCTGCTCCAAGACCTAATTACACATGTGCTCAAACAAGGAGTCCTGCCATCTATCCCCTCACACTATAAATCAGCAGTTGTCGATCCAAACAAGGGATTTGTCTCTGACTAAGTGTGTGTTTTGGGGTGTGTGTTGTCATGGCTTAATCATTTAAAGAACATAAATCAGCAAGAGTGAGGGACAATTAGTGTGTCCTGGAAATAAAGAGCATTTGATTCAAGTTCAAGAGAAAGTCGTCCCATTATTTCCTTCCGCTCTTTATTGAAAACAAAAGATTAAAAAAAAACAACTAAACAACAACAACAAAAAACCTGATAACGACTAAATCCAGCAGCTGGCTATGTGCCCAATCTGTCTGAGTCAGGCTCGTTCTCTTTAATGGTATTCTGAGATCAATTTGTTGAAATTGCCTCCATTTAACTTGCCCAAGTGAAGTGGTCCGAAAGCGATTGTTATCATGGTAATTACTGGGAAAGATTGGTAGGGATTCTGTATGCATAAGAGGATGCAAATGTTAAACAGGAGAGCTGTTTGTGCAAGTAAAAGATGCAAGAGATAGCGTAGTAGCCTAGCATGAACGTGACCTCCACGGGAGTTTTTTTTTTTTTTTTTTCCAAGGCAAACACTTGCTTCTGCTGTATTTCGTTGAAGATGAAGATTAGTGCATGGAAATTTTCTCACATTTTCACTCACCCGTTCGACTGCTGGATGACATATTCTGGTTAATTAGCAAGCACGCAGGAAAGAATGCTAATATTGCAATGTTTGGCTTTTTGGTTTGTGTACAGTTTCACGTTTCTCCAGTCCTCGGATGACACCCCGACTGAGCAGGAAGAGGGCGCTATCCATCTCTCCACTATCAGATGCCAGCATTGACCTACAGACCATGATCCGCACCTCACCCAACTCCCTGGTTGCCTACATCAACAACTCACGCTCTAGTTCGGCTGCCAGCAGCTCTTACGGACACCTCTCTGTCGGAGGAATCAGGTATGTAGATTAAATTAGATATCTTGAACTCATACTCCACAGAGAACTCTAAAAGAACCCCTTGATCGGGGAAGGTGATTCTCATCTGGCAAGAGCAGCCGATTTTTTTTTTTTTTTTTTTTTTTTGAGCACTGACTTTTTTTTGTGTAGACAGCAAAATGTGTTTGTCTCTCCTGTAATATAATGGCCTCTCCTTTTCTTTCTCTCCCAGTCCTTCATTCAGCTTCCCTCATCCCATTAACCCGGTGGCGTATCAGCAGTTGTTGTCACAACAGAGGACTCTGAATGCCTTTGGCCACACTCCCCCTCTTATTCAACCGCCACCGTCCTCGTTCTCTGCCCGCCAGCATTCTCTGACCACTCCGCCTATGTCCGCCTCCCATAACAGCGGCAACTCAGAAGCCAATCAGGTGGGACTGAATTGACAGATGAACTGGAATGGTTGACCGATGATATTGATGGATATTTTCTCATGCCTCCTTAAGAGATGTTTATCAGCCCAAATGGCCTTTTGTTGTCATATATTTTATTTTATTTTTTTGATGATATGTCCGGCGGCCCGGCGGTCGACTGGTTAGCGCGTCGGCCTCACAGTTCAGAGGTGCAGGGTTCAATTCCTTCCTGGGTGGAGTTTGCATGTTCTCCCCGTGCCTGCGTGGGTTTTCTCCGGGTACTCTGGTTTCCTCCCACATTCCAAAAACAAAGGCTGACTGAACACTAAATTGTCCTGAGGTGTGAGTGTGAGCGCAGATGTTTGTTCAACTATGTGTGCCCTGCGATTGGGTGGCAACCGGTTCAGGATGCGCCCGCCTTACTGCCAGAAGACAGCTGGGATAGGCTCCAGCACGCCCCGTGACCCTTCTGAGGATGAGAAAATCTGAAAATGAATGGATGGATGATGTCTCCCCTTAGAAATATGCAAAAGACTGCTTTGCAGTTCTATCAGTCTGCCTTCTGTCTCCTTTTATCAGCCCACTGTTTACACAAGAGAGACTCCTTGTGTAAACTTCCCACTCAGTGACTCAGTTTGCGACATATGTATATTGAAAGTGTAGCCGCCCCAAACTCATTTTCAACACTGGGAGATTCGGTCTTCCTGCCAATACCAACACTAACCACACGAACACTGAAATCTGTACACATGCTAATGCTAGTCTGGGATTCAGGGTGGGATTCAGAGCCTGCTCACTCATGTACCACTTTATAAGCTGGTTTACTTTTAATAAAATGTCTTTTTTTTTCTCAACTCCATGAGCGCTTTTAAAAAAACATGTGTTTCTTTGTCTTTTTTTCAAGTTCGGAATCATTTAGCAGATCAAAGCCCCCTCATTGTTAATACACACAAACGGCCCTTCCCCCTCCCTTACAAGAGTAATAACTCCTTTTACTTTCATATTTCCCTGCGGCTTGGGCCATCATAAACCAGTCTAAATTGTTTAGTCTCCACAGCTGGTCGCGGTCTGACTTATGGCTTCCTCTTCACATAGATTGGAAATGAACAATGTCTGTGACGACGTGACAATGTCTGGCATATCTATCCTTCAGAATGCAAGCGGAGATCCAGCGGTGAGCAGCACAGTCAACCCATTAAACTCCAAAAGGACAAAGGTTAAAATGGAAGTCGAAGGACCTCTGCCCATCTCACCAACCTCTCTGGTGAGGAAATCAAAAGAACTTTGTGAACTTTTTCTAGAACACTCATAAAATATGGAACATTTTATATTTGGATCTGATTAAGACGATACAATTTTAGATTGGCAAATCTGTAAAAGCGATCACAGACATGTGCAATGACAAAGCAATCTATACCTGGTGGATTACAAGAGAAGTGATACCCTATAATATAACTATAAAATCAAATATAACGTCTAAAATATAATAAAAATACAACGAAAAGTGACAGGCTCTCTTGGTTGTTCTTAGTCTCAATGTTAAAAATTGCTCTATCAGTTGCAGAGATGAGAATTTTCTGCCGATCAGTAGATTTCTGACTTTTTAAGACCAAAATGACCATTCTACAGATAAGTGCAAATTCGTTGAAAGATTTCAGCGGGTTGCCTTGCTGTCTAGCGAGAGGGGAGAGAGAGAGAGTGACCTGCTTGATGAGCAAATTGTTAAGCAATTTAAGAGTGGGGCGCTGTTCAGAGCTTTACGACCCGACAAAGGAGTTGTTTTTTGTTTTTTGTTTTTTGTTTTTTCCCAGATCTAGTCCATCCACGGGAGGTCAGTGGCGTTGCCATTTCATGTGTATTGCTTATTTAGTGGTTAACTTCCAAGTCCTCCTGCTGTTACCGTTAGCATTAGCTGGTACAAAATTGGTGTAGCGCATAATTTCAATTTTCTAAGGCACTCTGATATCTTGTAAGGCAGGGGTGCCCATTGCATCATTCGCGATTGACCAGTACCTCGCAAAGGGGATGTCGGTCGATCGCATGGCATTAACGCTGCACTGTACACAAGCTGTTGTTTAAGGTGGCTGCAGGCTGCAAAGTATGAGCTGCGGGTGATCTGTTTTTGTGATCGCAACGAAAGGCATTGATCAACATATGCCAATGACGTACTTGTGAAAGGACACTTTGATTCTCTCCTCTTTCATCTATAACTGCTTCCAAACAACAAAGTGTATGCAGGAAAAGTGGTTAAGATTGCATGACTGTCTGTGTGTTATGTGTTGTGTTGTATTATTTTGTTATTTTATGTTAACTGTTCTGTTGATGGCGGTGCGGGTACCCGCAGTGGCGCCTCTCTCCGCTGTGGTTGCACTGTGGTTGAGAGGAAAGAAATTTAATCTGTGCTGTATGTTGCACATAGAGCATATTTGACAATAAAGTTGACTTGACTTGACAATTATATATATATACAAACCGAAAGGTGTATCAATAGATAAGTATAGTACACAAAGGGTAAAAGTATTTGATGAAATGTAGATTTCTTCCTTTTCTTTGGTATTGGAAATGATCAATACACATTATTGCACAACAGGTGTAGAACTAGATAAGTTGTATACTTCTCCCTACTCCTTTGAACATATAACTGTGATGATGTTTGTATTACTTACTTTTATTTTCCTTTCATAATTTTTGTTTGCATTTTGTCATCTGTTATTGTATGTTTTATATATGTTCAATAAACAAACAAACAAACAAACAAAACAAACTGACGTTTCATGACAATGTTTTGTCTCTTGTCTGCAGGATCAGAGTGGAGGGATGTTGGACCTGAGTGAGGAGCTTGATAAAGATGAGTGCAAACAGGAACCTGAGGCCATATATGAGACCAACTGCCACTGGGAGGGTTGCACAAAGGAGTATGATACCCAAGACCAACTTGTACATGTGAGTTTGCCTTGAATCTTATCAAAGGACACTTCGGCTGCATTCAGACTTCAGGCAGATCTTATTCCAATCAGATTCCTCTTCAAATATGATTTTTAGGGCTGACTGTCAAGTGTCCCAAAGGGATCTGGCCCTGATCAGACTGGGTCACTCGATTGACCCGTCTGACAGATTGCTGTAGCAACGACGTCAGAATGGATGGTGTCGTCCAACACGTGTAGTGTTTGACATCACCGCTCCACACTTGGACATAAACCATATGACCCCCGTTGCCCACTCCCGTCGAATATTACGTGCATGACGGTCGCCATTCGTACTGTGATGTTCACCAGCAGCACCCCTGGACATCGAAGAATAGTACCGGGTTGAATTTTGGTTCCATTATGTCCCTGATTAGCACTCTCTGGTCTGGCACATTGGGTCTTGCGTCACGTGGAGTGACGTCACGGACAGTCGAATCCGATCATTGTGTTTGGAGCTGTTCAGAGTGAGAGACATCCTGTCCAAATGCAATATGAAACGAGCTTCTGATTGTGGTTTTAAAACCTACGTACCGGGATTTGAAGACCTGGTGACCGACCAACAGTCCAAAATTGCCAAATTTTGGACAGAACCCGGTACAAAATATATCGGTCTCGCAAAAATCTGATTTCATGTGCTTTTTCACTGTTGAGACTACAAAAGAGCCATCCAGTTTAGATATGCAGAGATGAAAGTCCTCCAGATTTTCCCGGAATTCCGGGTTTTTCAAATTTTTATGAAAATTTCTCCGGAGAATTGAGGAAAATTTGCATAATCCGGATATTTGTTGACAACATTGAATGAAGACGCGTTTGAGTTCGTTGTATTGCTTTCACGAGCGTAGCCATATTGAGGCACTAACACTTGTAACAGTAAAGAGATTTTTGTTTGTGTAATAACGACAGAAGGCATGATGGCGTTTGACTAATGGTTTAGGAAATCGAATGGCAACTCGCAACAACAGTAGCAAGCGTCATTTTGCCTCTTGGGTTATACCATCTCAACTAGAACGTGGGGGATAGTCCCCAAACAATTTTCGTCTCTTTATAAACACACCCGCTAAACCCCAGTGGAAAGAATAAAAGAGGCCGTCAACAAGACAGTTGTCGTAAAATATATATTTGGCCAAAAAGGAAAAAACACAGATTGGCAGAAAATCGTGTCCGTCCGACTTAGTGTCGTCTCGGCTAACTTAGCTTAGCTGTTGTCGTGTGTGACGTCATTTGCGTCGGCGCTGACTGGTTGAAATCAAAAGACGCGCTTGCGTACATGTTCGCGCTGAAACCCGCACAGCAGAGAGCAGCGGACTATCTACTGCTGAGGCTCGCTTAGCTTGAGTGG